AATCTCTCCACCTTTGTTCCTTAACTTTCGAGATAACCCGACCAACCATATTTAAGCCACAAAATAGTTGACTATGAAATTGCGCTTCGGGGCTTTCAAAGGGTTGTCGAACCGGTTGAAGGGTTTTCTTTAGATAAAAACGGACTGACCGCTTAGGTTATGTACATAGCGGCGAGAAGCTTTCGTGCCACTATTTCTGGTTTGACGGCGCTCCTAATTTGAACTGCGAACCTCCTTTCCTTGCCCCTTGGTCAATCCACGCATGAATAGCATATATCCGATCAGCAAACATTTTAGCATGAATGGAATTGGAAACTTTCTTTAATATCGCTGCAGATTGGAACGTTAACGTCAAACCAAACTACGGCTAATACCTGTTTGGCCTCGAAAACGAGTTCCCAATACCTAATTTGTTCGGTTGTTTTTGTCACCTTCAAAATTCTTTCTTGACATACAAATGTGCTGAAGTAACGCTAAGTTTATGTTTTCCTTATGTCCACTAAATATATGTTTCGACTAAGGAATTATATTAGTTTTCCTTGCACTTTTTTAGTTATGCAATCTTTCTTTTCTAATAAATGCTCTGAGGAAAATTACATACAACCTGACTTGTCGTAATAGAATGGAAACGGGTTCTTAGTTTTTCTTACGCTCATGTTGGGACAACTAAGTGATCCTATGGTCATTTGTTGTGTCTCGCTGTAATCATTACTTCAGAACTATGAAAAGACTAGTTTACAAAAGAAAGAAACTTTCCTTTATATTTGTGGTATCGAGCCAATACCCTTGGTAAGGCATCTTACAATGCATCGCCTCATATCTCATAAACTTATTTTATGAATTAATCCTTAAAGTCTTTTCTAGAAGACGATGATTCCTACATATTTTATTGTTAGCTAATGCTCATGCTTACATACTCTCCATGTATCTCTTCTTCTGCAAAAATCCCTCTTGAATTGTAACTGGCTTCAAAGATTGAAGCTTCGTGCATCTGCAACCATTGCAATAGCAACAGTTAAATTGGTTTTTTA